TAACTTGGAAAATATACACCTAACCAGGACATCTGTTATTCCATAGACTTGCTCTTAAATTTCATTCATATTTTCCACTTTTCTCTACCATTTTCCGGACTCCCTCTCTCTCCTTATTTCCCTGGCTGGAGTTCAAACAAATACAAAGTCAAACAGCGCACAGGTAGATGGTTTGGTTGTTCCCTCGGAAAACACCTGAGACCCCTTGATCCTGTGCCAGATTTCTGCTCTTGTTTCTGTTGTTTCTCCGCTTTTCGCACATGCAACTGCCGAGCTCGGTTTTTCTCCCTACTCCTGACTATATATATATTTTATATACATATAGCCATTTACACCCAAAAAGAAAAACAGCCCTCGCAGTCACCTAGATTCTATGCCGTCTGCTCTATGGAGCTGCTGCTACCATTTGCTACCATTTTCATTCCTCGACAGCAACTTTGTTCTCTCTCCAAAAATGACGCATTGTTCAGTCACATCATATATAGTCTGGGCTGCGTGTTTAATTTGCAAAAAAACTCAAAATGCGAAAAATAAAGAATGTTGTATGTACATTGTACGTACATGTTGCAAAAATGTGCTGTATTTAGCGTAAGCGTAAGCAGCAAACAAGAAATTTTAAGTGAATTGCGGTCATTGTTCCTGGTTTCCAACATTTTTATTTATTTTATGGTTCTGTATGTTTTTTATTTTATTTGAACACACACAGACACACTGGAATACTGGGGCAGTTGGAAATAGAAAAAACCATGCATAACATTGAAACTTCGTTTAAGAGCTTCAACCAGATAAGGTTGGATAAGATAAGGATTTTGAAATGCGATTGGCGGGAAAAGGTTGGTTAAATAATTTATATAACTTTTTGGTGTTATATCACTTAAAGGGGTTAACGGAAACGAGGCTCCGGAGAAGGAAGTGTCCATCTCTCAGAGAAACTTTATTAAACAGTGAAAAAATTTAAATCTTCCTGGCTTTAAATTTATTTTAATGAAGAATATGATAAATATTTTTCATTAAAATACATCTAAAGGTAATGAATCTTATTAATTGTAATAACTTTCACAATTGGTAACAAGAAAAAAGGTTTCTAGTCATAAAAATAATTTAAATTTCATTGTTTTTTTGACTCGGGATCTTTAAAAATCTATATCTTAATAACTACCTATAGAAATGATCTGAAATTTAGGATACAGGCTTATTAATATGTAAGGTTTCAGTTTCAGCTAAAGTTCTAGTGCTAACTGTCTTGCAATAAATAATATTATATATTAAACAAACCCATATATGATATGATAATGCAACTTTAGCGGTGCATTCCCGATTTGTCTTGGGTCAAGGAAAAGGAAGCGCTAATTGCAGCCTGCAGATGTTGCCATTATTTTATTCCCAACTCTTTGGCCCAATTTCGGTCAAATCGCGAGTGGTAAATGGGGATCGGGTACGGAATCGGGATCTTTATCGCGCCATGTCAAGCGTAAGAAGCGTAACTCTCCCAGGAAAAAGGAAGAGGAAGGAGAGGACGAGGACGAGGCTGAAGATGACGTTGGAGGGGAAACGCAGTTACAGCTGCGGAACAGGACAGGATGAAAGGCCAGCAGCAGCAGCAGAAGAAGTGGAAACGCGAAACGGAATCGCATAAAACGGAAAGTGCAGCAAATTGTGGCAGCTGCAACATTTTGTGTTTCTTCTTCGTTTTTTATTATTATTTTTTTCCGCTGCAGGTTCTCTTTTTCTCTGTTTTTTTTCTGTGCCTCGGTTGGCCGTTGGCCTTTTACCGTTTTTTATTGACGGCACTGCAACTTGCAACAAAGCAAAAGCAAAAGCAGAAGAAGAACTAATGCAAAAGGCAGAGAAGGAGAGAGTGAAGGCAATTGCAGCACGCAAATTGCAGTCGACAAAATAATCAGACTTTAATTGTCGTTCTGCAACAATGTGCAGAATAAGCCCGGGAACCGAACCTCAAGGAACCCAAGGAGGAGCTCATGGCAAGGAAGAGCTCACCCCGAGCAATGCCACGCGAAGATGATTCGATGTTGCTGGTGTTGCTGCTGTTGCTGCTGCTGCTGTTGCTGCTGCTGCTGATGTTGCTGTTGCTGCTGTTGCTGTTGCAAGTTGTCAACCGAAATCGGGCGAAAAGTTTGTCCATTTCCAAGGCTCGAGGGTGGAATTGTTCAGAAGATATAAAAAACTAAAGCAAATTGCATTCTTGTGGGTGTGGGAAATCATGAAGGTTGTGACTTGAATGGGTGGGAATTTCCAGGCACAATTATACTCGCTGCAACCAATGACCATGAGCCAAATTTAGGGTGAAACTATACTATTTAAACAGTGATAAAACTATTTATAAGAAAAGCTTTTACAGGGGAAATTAATAACAATTATTTTATTTAGAGAAAAAGTATTGCAAACATGGGTTTAATATATGAAATTATTTTTTTTAGCAAGCAAATTTATTATAATAATTATATCTGTTAATAAAATAAGGTTTTTACGAAAATAATCAATTAGGAGTTAACATATTTAATTGCGTGAACTTTAAAAGGTTTAATAAGTTCGTAAAACTTAACATTTTGTCATTAAAATTTTTGTAAAAATTCATTTATGAATGAATTCAAAAAAAATATATTCAATTAAATCAATATCATTAATAACACAGAAATTTTATTTATAAAAAAAATCTTGAATTCAGAATAGAATTATAAAAAATATTTTTAAAATGTTTCCTTATCCTTCCCTAAACCTTAACTTAGCCTTTAAAAAAAATGCCTTTAATGTTTTGATTCAATTCATATAATAATATATGCTAGGTCTTTTTGTAAAATTTTAAGTTATCATAGAAATACTGTATATATTTTGTATATTTTTCTTAAAAAATATTCCTTTAAACCCTTACCTTCCTTCACAATCCTTAAAACTTAACTTGGCCTATCAATAACAAATTTACACTCACTTTAACACCTCAAGAGCCCTGCATTTATGCAACTTTCCTTGTAAAGCAGACACACTCACAAAAACCAGAAAACTGGTGCAGCTTGCGGCACATTCAGTGCATATAACACCATTATCTTTCTGGATATATCATCATCACGATGATGATGATGATGATGATGATGATGATGTTGAAAAGGCCCAGAGACCGGAGCCCAATGAACTTTCTGAAGCGCAACGAAAGGTTCGCTGGCCAAATGCAAAAAGCCAAAGGACGCGCACGGCAAAAATGAGGAAAACGACAAAAAAAAAAAGAGAAACCAAAAGTACACCTGTGCCAGAAAAAAAAATAAGAAAAAGAAAAAAAATGATACAAGAGAACAGCGGGGCTAAAAAATGGCGAAAAAGGCAAGAAAATGACAACGGCGTTGAAGGCAACTGAAATACGCGGCTGCGAGTGTGTGTTGTGTGTGTGTATGAGTGTGTGTGTGTGTGTGTCTACAACAAAACCAACTTGGCAGCATAACTTACAAGCAACAAAAACATAAAAAAAGAAAAAACACAACAAAAAAAGCGGCAATAAAAAGCCAGAAGTGAGTGTCCTTTAGCTCATTTTTTTCTGCTCTTCGTTTTTTATTATTTTCTGTTTTTTGCCGCTTCCTGCCTCGCTGACTTGGCCGCTCATTATATAGTCAAAGACCATAATTATGTGTTGAAGTTTGTAGATGTTTAAAGCAACTGAGCAAGCAAGGAACAGAAAAAAAAATTTAAAAAAAAACAGGAACAGAGGAAAGCCTTCAAGGAATGGGAAACTTTTTTAGCCAGGATATTTGTTTAAAAGAAACTCACAGAAACACCTTTCTTTATTCAATTCAACTAACCAAATTTTCTTTATTTCTTTTCTCTTGCAGCTTTCAGTCAAAGGATTTGAGGACTAAGGATACAAAACAACAGAAAAATACTTTGGAAAAACTTGACAACCCTTTTCGGCCCACAATCAAAATTTGCAACTAAGCCAACAAAAGCAAAAAAACATAAAATGAATTAATAATAATAATACACACAAAACTTATATGAGAATATATACATAAATAATATTAATACTATTAAACGCGCTAATGTTTAATTAATTGTTAAGCCAAGAACCCAAAACAAACAAACAAACGGAAGACAAAGATTTTTAAGCCTACACTTTAAGTACAATTTACTAGACATACAAAAACAAAAATACTTAAATTATTTCAACAAAAAAGCTGCAACTATTTTTATATCCGAAAACATATTAAGCAAAACGGCGAATTCAATTGAGAAACGAAGCAAAAACCAGAGTACAAAAAAATCTTTAATCAATTTATATACAAAAGCAAGCAAAATAAATAATCAACAGCAAGTAATTAATAAACCTAATAAACCAACAACAACAAGAACAAACAAACAAACAACGCATACAAAATACAAATTTTACAAATTACAAATTTACAAAAATTTTTAATAATATAAAACAAAACAAAATCCGCAAAACAAAACGATTAAAGTCTGCTACAAATTAACAAAAAAATAATTAAAATCATATATCAAGAATACAAATTTTTGCATAGCTGCCGTTTTACAAACAAAAAAAATAAAGTACAAAATACCAAAACCAACAAATCTTACAAGTTTTCTAACCAACCAACAAACAAACTTACAAATTTTAAAAGCAAAATAAAAACGAACAAAGTAAAATCAAGTAAAAAATACCAATTTAATAAAAGCACTTTACAAAATAATAATCAAATTTTGCATTAATCGTATGTAAAGAAACACACACAAGCAAAGCCAGTGAGTTCAAAAGATAAACAAGAGTAGCTTCAACTTATACACATAGTTATACAAACGAATTAAAGTCGAGACATTTAGACAGAAAAAATAAAAAAACACGAGAATTTTAAATAGAAGAACTACCTCAACATAAGTAGTGAACCGAGAAGTGTACAAAACAATTAAGGACGACGACGACGACTCTCACACAGTACAAATTGCTAAGGATCTGAGACAGAAGGACACTGCATAGCCATGCTTAAGTTTGTGCTTAAATGGCGTCTTCAATATTAGCCCAGAGCAGCAGCACAGGCGTTCCTGTAGATACTGTCGGCAACTTGGTAACCGGAGCAGCCAGTGCCACATCCACATCGGTGGAGGCCACTGTCTCCAGTTTGCATAATACGCATTTGAATCAATTGAGCAGCTTGAGTCAGCACTATACAACGCCATATCACCATCATCCATCACATCATTACCACCACCAACAGCAGCAGCAGCAGCAGCAGCAGCAGCAACACCAGCAACAGTATCACCAGCAGCAGCAGCAACACTCCCAGCAGCAGCAGCAGCAATACACCCAAGAACAGCAGCAACGTTGGGACTACTATGCCAGGCAGCAGCAACAGCAGCAGCAGCAGCAGCAGCAACAGGCAGCGGCCGCCACCAACGGCAACACAACCAGTAGCTCCAACACCAATCCCAGCAGCAACAACAACATCAACAACAGCAGCAGCAACAGCAACGACAGCAGCAGCAATCCTACGGTTCCAGCCCCCTTGGGCAGCAGCAGCAATGGCAGCAATAATAACCATGCTAGCGTTGCCGCCAGCAATCCTGGCCAGCAGCAGCAGCAGCAGCAGCGGCACACTGATGCCAATGCCCTTTCCGCCGCCTCCGCCGCAGTAGGAAGTCAAGCCAACAATACCAACAATACAAATACCAGCAACTCCAATTCCAATTCAAACGGCAGCTATACACGTCCCTGGGAAATGGAGTCCAAGGATAATGGTCCACAGCAGCAGCCCCAGCAGCAACAGCAACAGCAGCAGATGAAGAGTGGCTTTGAACCCTTCTCTAAGCTGCCCTCGTTCCAGAGTCAGTTCCATGGCTTTAATGAGCTGCTGCCAGATGGAACACCCATGCCAGTGCCCATAGGAGCAGTGCCGGGAGCAGTGCCAGGAGGACCTGCAGCAGCAGCAGCAATTGCAGGACCCGCACCAGGACCCACAACTATGAGCTCCCTGCAAACGGTGGCCATGTCGCCGGCCAGCATTTCGGTGAGCTCGCCGGGCATGATGAGTGTGGGTTCACCTTTGACCCAGCTCTCGAGTTTGCAGGCCAGCATTACGCCACCATCGGCGGGCAGTTTTCCGGCGCCACCGCCGCCGAATGCCTTTGCCCATCATCATGCTCTCAATCCGCATCATCATCACAGGACCAGCGCTGGGTATCCTTATGGAGAGATACCTCTGTATCCGGGTTTCACGCCGCTGAGCGTGAAAAAGGAAGCCGGAGCGGTAACGGGTGGCAGCGATTTTGAAATGCTGCTAAAGAAGGAGGACTTTGATCTCAGCCACAGTGGCGTTGGCGGTGGCCTGATCCACCATCCGCTGCAGCATGTGTCCCAGCAGCAGCAGCAGCCAGGACATCATCCCATACCGATGGGCATGCACACACCAACGTCGTATGATGGAAATAATAGCAACACCAGCTATCCGCAAGCGGCGAGTGGCAGTGGCAGTGGCAGCCACACACCGCACACCACGACCCAGCCCACGCCCACCACCACGACACCGGTCAAGGCCGAGAAGCTGCTCCAGTCTCCAATAGCACGTCTGGAGGCCAGAAAGAAAGAACGGCGGAAACAGCGGCCCAATTCGTTGGAGTCCAGTGCCGAGAGCGAGGCCAGCGGCATGGACGTAGACCCAAGCAATCCTGGCCAAGTGGATGCCGTCTCCAGCACGGCCAACTTTAAGAGTCCGTTGAGTGCTCTAGGAATGGGGGATAGCAACGATGCCAATGCCAGTGGATGTGACAAGCAGGTAGGTGTCTAAGTCTCAGTCACAGGTGTGGGGTTGTTGGAATTTTATAGAGGAATATAGTGAATAACAACTAAAGTCTCTGCTACAAATTTATCCTATAAATACCTTGAGCTCTATGAGAATTTAAGAGCAATCTTTTTGCAATATCTATTGATCTATTCCAATAATTTCCAACAACTCCAACCCAATTAACGAGCGAAACCGGGGGCGAACTGGCAACCGCTGCGATTAACAGGACTACGGTCGTCGCCACCATCTTCCGCCACCCACACTGCCCCCGCCAATTACCGCCCACAACCACCAACGCACCCACCACCCCATACACCAACACCCCAACCAACAACAACAACAACAACAACACCAACAACATCCGCACAACCACAACCACTCCAACGACAACAACTCCTCTTCCTGCTCTCTCTTTCAGTCGAAGAAGAAACGCAAGCGTTGCGGCGAATGCGTGGGATGCCAGCGCAAGGACAATTGCGGCGAATGTGCTCCCTGCAGGAATGACAAGAGCCATCAGATCTGCAAGCAACGTCGCTGCGAGAAGCTAACCGAGAAGAAGGTGAGTTCAAGTTTGCAGAATTTACTATAAGTTAGTCCCGAGAAACTTCCCACCGAAAAGCGTGGCCTGGTGGAGTATCTCACAGATTCATTCAGAGCCAAGCCAGAAGTTACTCAATGAAATTGGAGGGAACTGTGGAATGAAAAGGGGGTTTTTACTGATAAAAATCTATAAATTCTCTTTTATAAATTAATAATGTAATGATTTCTTATTAAAACGATGATATATCAAAGAAGACTTGGAATATATCACGGGTTATCTTAGACTTTCGTAATCTTTTCTTAACTAGACTCTTCTTAGACCTAGGTTGGATCTCTTAAGGATATTTGTAATACTTGAAACCACTGTGCCAAAACGGGCAGCTGGAAATCTTCTAAAACTGGTTTTCTACTCCAGCTCCTCTAAAGAAAGAAAAAAGAGAGCCAGCGGGCAATTCGCATCCACATTCACGTTCACGTTCGCGGTCTTTCGCACCAGCGGTCAGTCACTCAGGATTTATGTCAGCGCAACAGATGTTCCGCAGCCAAGTGCCAAGACAGGCTCTTTCTTACCAATCCTGTCTCCTCTCCTCACCATCGTCTCCAGCTGCCTCGATTTAACTAGTAACCTACAATGAGAGGAGCATCATTTTGAGTGTGTGTGTGCCTAAGTGCCGGCATTGCGTACGAGGTGCACTCGAGAGTATCTGCGCTGAGTGATCCGACATCCGCGCATCCTCTAGATACTCACAGCTCCTTTTTTGAAATCACTTAAGATGCCGCTGCCGCAGGCAGAGCGTGTCCTTTTCGAAAGGAAATCAGGTTGCACATGTGTGTGTGTACAAGAGGACCTCGAACCTCACATCTCTCGCATCTCAAATTGCGCTGCATGTCGTCACTGAAATCTGCGGGATTGGTTTGGTTTCCAAGTGAAGTGGAAGTTCGGGTACAAGTTCAATGGCCCAAGGACCACTAAGGAGTTTTAAGTGATCAGTAACCATAGATAGGAGCACGAAAGGTTGCACAGAGCATCTTAATTTCATAGGTTTTTAAGGGGATATATAAGAGTTTACAAGGTTTTAATTGATAGACAGGTTAAAATGGAAGATATTATATTTTATAGAAATATCTTTTAATTCTGAAATATATGTATATTTTAAAAAATCTCTTTTGAACAAAAACTTTTGCAGTAGATTTAATAAAGATGGAGAGGAAAGGATTTATAGAAGAAATTTGTAGTAACGGAATTTAAGAGGGGTTTACGTAGGACTATATATACTATAATATATAATTAGATATCGTTCTAAATTTATGCTATAAATACTATCTAATTTTGCAATAAATTTTATACATATTTTTTAGATGATAATATGTTTTAAAACGAATTCATCAAAATTTCAGTAGTACTTTGAATAAATAGTTTATTTCATGTTGATATATATTAGTAAATATTGCTATAAATGGCATATTTATGATATAAATACTATCTTTTGCTTTATAACAATTTTTATCTGTACTTCTTATATAAAAAATCATCATTTTCCTTGGCCTTGTTCCAATTTTTCGTTTTCCTGTTTGCCAAATCTTAAAACCCACTCGAAATAATTTGTGGAGTATATCCCATATTGACAAAGACGCTTCCATATTGCTTCGATATAATATTATTTCTTCAAATAAAAATACAGACGTCCAACAAAAACAACAAATGCATAAACTACCATATATATATATAAATAAGAACAACAATAAAAATAACGATAATAACGAAAACGAGGCAACGAAAACAACAATAAAAGGAGCAGATGTTCACAAGTTACAAACGCGGCTTTTGATCGCACACACACACACACACTCGCACACTCGCACACACACACTGGCAAACAAAGACAGCACACACACACAGATACAGATACCATATTGTATCTGTATCTGCAGACAGACAGAGATAAATAAATAAGCGACTGCTCGCCGCGTTGTGTCTCTCTGTCTCTCGCGATCAGCGGACTGCAAACAGGAAACAAACAAAAAAAAAAAATGTGAACAGAATATATGAGCCTGGAAAGAGAGGGAAGATACTCAGAGCGAAAGAGAGGGAACGAGAGCGGACAATTAAGGTTGACAGGAGCGAGAGGAGCGCTGCACACACTCACACAAAAGGCCGTCAAACGAGAAAATGGCACGCAGAGATCGCTCTACCGCTTCAGAAAAATATAAAAAAATAAAAGAAATATACAACAACAAAAAAATACAGACGGCACACATAGATAAAGTTGTAAATTTCGCAGTTTCACCGCGAGACGAGAGCCAAGGAACAGTTTGACATGTCAATATGGACGGGTTGTATCTACAAGATACAAGTCAAGATAGCGTAGCTCCCTCTTCCCGCTCTTGCTTCCTTCTGGACAATTGACGCTTTAGTTTTATATCTTCCTCTGCTTTTTATCATCGCCATCCGCAACATCATTATCAGGGTTTTCCATTGTCCAACTGCCTCACATGTTGCCAGTGCGGCACTGGGACACTATGTCACTGGGTTTGGGGTTTTATCGAGGGGTCATTATCGCCAAGAGAAATTTGGATTCTTATATGATTATATTTTACGATTTTAAGATACTTTTATTGTCAAAGAAATAGTATTGAACTTTGATTCGAAAGGACTTTATACCATTAACATTCTTTCAAATATAATTTAGGAATAAAACTTTTTATTACATTTATAAATATAATATCAATCGGAAAATAATGGAACCAGATTTATTATATATCAGTTCCTTATTTGTATAAAAAATTTGAGGAATTAAAAACACTTCTCAAGTCAAAGAAATAGTAATTATTGATTACAATGTTTTAAATTTTAGCAGTTTTAAACACAAACAAAATATGACTTTACATAAATTATTAAAGAAACTATTTATTTTGAGAACACAAATAATATAAACTGAAAAATAACTAAGATACATATATGATATATCAGATTTAAAATTGTATAAGAAAGTTTAAGGAACTTCTCTAGTCAATGAAATAGTATTTATTAAATACAAAGTTTTAAATTAATACATTTTTAAACACAAACATAAAATGTATTTAAATAAAATAGTGGGAAACCCATTTCTTATAAGAATTCATATAATATAAACTAAAAAATGATTAAACCAGAAATTTCATATCTTATGTTTTAAATAGTTATTTATATCTTTGAACTTCTCCTATTATTTTTCTTGCTGTCCAGTGTAGAAGTACTCATATATTTATGCCTTTGTCCTCGGACTTTATAATGACAATGTTTTCGCGGGCTTTTCATTTTTTTAGTTTTTGAAATCAGAAATTCTTCTTCTGCTCCTCAGCTAAAATTCACAGCTGGTTCTGTCCCTTCATCCGATTCATTCTTATTCAGTCTCGACGGTGACTATAAATTTCGAAGGTGAATTATATCATTCTTGAGTTTCGCATTGAATGCGGATCAATGCACCTTTGAGTATTCTCATCCCTCAAGCAAATATCTCATTATTTAAGCTGAACTTTAAGTTGCTTTCCGGCCCTCCTCCTATTTGTTTTTTTAATATTTTTTTGTAATTTTCTGTGCTTTTTTTCACTTTCACAAATCAGCTGAAAAGACCTTCGGGCGCAGTCATTAAGTTGGCTATTTGAATTGCCGGGCAAACTCACTCCCACCTTAGGGTTTCCTTTCCTTCAGTAAAGAAAAAAATGAGGGGGAAAAAAGAGATGAAAAATATCTGGACAGGCCTATCTAAGAGGATATTTCCTGTGTCGCTCAATTTGTCTGGGGTTTTCTTTTTTTTTCCTTGACTTTCTTTAAACATGCAGTTTTTCTTAGGAATTTTCTCATTAAAATTTGAACATTTTTTTCACGTTTTTTTGGGCTGCTACAAATAAAAGAAAATCAACAACAAGACGAAGCAAATATTGAAAGTGTCTGAGAGTGAAAGGAAAGTTGGGGTTTGGAAAAGCCAAAAAGGAATCAACCCCGAAAGTCCATTTGGAGTCTGCTTTCTTTTTATTTTTGTCGTGCGGGAGTTTGAGTGATTGACTTCATTGGGTTGTCCAAGGAATCTATTCAGAAGGAGAGTCCTTCTCCTTGCTCTCATTTTCATTTCCAACTTCATTGAGCCAAATGCACTGGAGTCACTAAAAAAGCCAAGCCATAACAACTTAAAGGTTTCTCGCCTCATGCATACGAAATGCATATATGTTCATAAGCGCAGGCGAATCACTCGCCATATCCTTATCCACAGTTCCTTCTTTGGGCCAGGACGAGTGCATTGCTCCTGCGGGGAAGCCACTCCTTTCACTCCTCCTCGTGACACACTCTCGGCAAACACACAAGAAACAATATGCAGGAGAGTGGGAATAAAAAAACGGAAAGAGCTCTTGCCAAGGTGGCTAAGGCACTGAAAGGAAAATATTAAATATATGGATAATAATTGTTATTAAATATATGGTTTTTAAAGATATATATTTATTTATTATATGTATAATAAGTATTTTAAATCAGGAAATTTTTCTAGGTTTACTTTTTGAGGAAAAGTTGATTTAAAATCATTTCAAAATTAATTGTTTCTCCTTGTGCAACGTTTTTGGCACGTTTGGCTTGGCAGCTCCAGCTCCAGCTCCAGGAAAACAGGATAATACACTCAAACACACTTACAAACACACACACACACACTCAGATACACACAGGATACTTGAGCCACAACTGCAAGGCTTGGTGGCGATGAGGACTCTGATGATGATGATGTTGGTCTTCATTATGAACATGTTATGTTGTGCAATCTGATACTCGGCCATCGTGGTCGTGCTCCTGGGATATCCAGTTGCAGTTGGGCATCCTCTTTCATCCTGCCAGTGTCCTTCCCTTTCACCTTTTGCTATCTCTTTTACTTTGCTTTTTCCTCTTTCCTCTTTGGTTTTTTTGTGGTCCAAAAAACTGAAAACTGAAAAATATGTTGTCTTTTGGTTAATTGTCGCTCTTGGCCAGGCACACGACTCCCCCTGCCTCTTTCT